TCCACAATGATGATTTCTTCTATCGCACTGTGGGTTAACATACAGATATATCTTCCCCCCTGCCTCTAAATGTCTCAATGGTTTCGGATTTGGGAGAACGGCTGAGGGCAGGGGGGGAGAGATGCTGCCTGAACGGAGTGCTTTGGAAGCTTTCGCCTTCCAGCTCCCGGTGGCACCGGCAGACAGCTCCATCAAAAAAGTGGTTTTCCAGTGCTCTCGAAAAGCCGTTATTTTTTTACATCGCTTTTAGGAAGATGGATTAACAAAACATCGCGTTTCAAGCCACTCTGATCTGTAATTAAACGGAGGAGCCGGTTTGTATTCTCCTATGGCTTTTACAGAAGTTGCAGTGATCCAAAGTCAGGTTGCTGTGTCAGAGTGGCATTTTTATTAATGAGAACACAAAAAGCTTGCATATTCTTAGCCCGGCTTGAATTTAGTTGCTAAGCAACCGCTGTATGGTAATTCATCCGCGAAATTTAAATCTTTCAGAAAGGACGCTGCGCTCTGCTCAATGCTCGCCACGAGGAAAACAACCGCGTGGGACCCGCGGCAGCTGCCGCCTCGTCGCCCTCCGCCCCGGGACGGCCCCGGCCCGGCTCCGCCGCCCGCGGACTGCCCGCAGATGCCCGGGAGGCTGCGACAAGGAGGCGGGAGGGACCCGGTCAGCGCCGCCCCGTCCACCCGAGGCCGCTTCCCACGCGTGGGCGCCGCCGGCTCTCGGAGCGCGGCCCCGCTGTTCGCTTGGAGCGCGGCCGGCGGTCACCCCTCCGCTTTCTTTTTTTTTTTTTTTTTCTTTTTTTTTTGTCTCGCCAAAGAGTCTCGGCCAAAAAAGGAGCTCCCTACTGCTGTGTCATTGACACCGCGGGGTCGCTCGCTGCCTTTCTTTTCGCCTTTCTCGAGCCTCTCGTTGAAACCTGCGCCCGTTCCATTATTCCAAAATGCAACTGAAAATACCTCGCGGGGACCCGGAGCTGAGGCTCTGCCATTCGCTCCTCACTGCGCTCCCTGCCCCGAAGCCGCACCCGGGGCCGTCACTTGTTGCGTCCCTTTGAGTTTGAGACAAGGAGCGAACGGAGGGCCCCCACCCGCAGCCGCAGCCCCGCGCAAACGGGGAGCGATGCGTGCGCACCTGCACAGATGTACACAGCAGCGGCGGCTTGGAGGTGTCCATCATTTATTACAAAAATAAACGAATAAATACAACAAGACGTTGTTGCTTTCGACGGGATAAATATTTTACAAATATATCATTTAAGAAAACAAAACAAAACAAAACAACCTAAATCGAGTTGTTAAAATTATTTGAGATGTTACACTTACTGATTGAATAACCAACAGTATGTACTGCTTTTCGTACCAGAACCGATTAGTCTACTTGTGAAACCATTCACACAGAGCAGGTGACAAGCAGCACGGTGCGCACACACGAGGCACGAAACACGGGGGCTCTTTTGGGCTTATTCCGATGGGAACAGCCGCCCCGAAACCAACGCGGAGCCTTTTGCTGAGCTCCGGACACACGCGGACGGCGGCTGCAACGCACCTGAGGGGACGGAGTGGGAGCGTCCGGCCGGGGTGGGGAGTTGGGGGGTGGGAATGAGGAGCATAAAGTAATTCCGACTCGGGATGACCCGGGCTGAGCGATGAGAACTTTGTGGGACGTTGGTTTTAGAGATGGGGGAAAAAATGAGGAAGAAGAAGAGGGAGGAGGAGGAAAACGATACCGACTCAGTTCCACGAACAGAACGCTGATATTATAAATGGAAACAATTACTGAGTGCGTTAGGAGATGCGGCGATACACAACAATATTTTCATTATTTAGACGTGTCACGATACGAGCCCGAACGCAGCGCCCTCAGCTCTCACCTATCCCGGTTATCTCTGACGTTCCCAAATACATTCAGAAGATTCAGCTGGGGGCGGAGGGGGGGGGGGGGGGGGGGGGGGGGGGGGGGGGGGGAAGGAGGAGGAGGGGTGCTGACCACGGCCTCACTTTTCTCTCACAATAACTCCGCAAAACGGGCGCATCTGGCAGAGTCCGCACAGCCGAGCGCTGCTGCCCCGGCCCAGCCTCGGCCCCGGCACGCCGCCGAGGCCGTCCTTTAACAGCACACAGAGCGAAGCCGAACTCCAGCCCTTTGTGACCGCACAAACATGGGCACCAAACACCACCGAGAGATGTGCAAGGTCCCTCTCTGTGGCTGACATTCGCCTGCAGAAAACCCAGTTTCCCCGGCCCGGAGCTCCGGGAGGCAAACAAAGAACCGCTGCCGTCACCCTCCTCTTTTCTTTCCCCTTTTTATTTTACTCTATAATTTTTTCCTTTTTTTTTCTTTCTTTTTTTTCTTTCTTTTCCCCCTCTCCTTTCCTTCGTGCCAATGAGACCATTGCACAAACCCTTCGAACGCTACCATATGTCGCGATCCGGCGATACAACACCCGGCGCACGGCCGCGATTCACGGGCTGACACCGCCGGCTACGACCGCTCGGGAGGGATAGGAGGGGAGGAAGGAGCCGCGGGCTCCGTGCCGCTAACGGAGAGCACCCGCAAAGCTGCTGGGGGTTCGGCCCGTCCCCACCGCTTTCCCGCTCCGCAGCGCAGCGGCCGATGCGCACCGTGACGCGTTCGGCGCACCGATGTGACAGAGCTGCTGCTGCTGCTGCTGCTAAGGGAGCACGGTTCACCCAGAGCCCGAGCCCCAGCAGCAGCAGCAGCAGCAGCTAGAGCGTTGTGCGCGGTGGGTTGGAAGCAATCCCCTTGGGCATCCTTCCTGGGGAAAAGAAAAAGCACCTTCTCCAGACATCCCGCAGATAAATCAGGTACAAATCTTTCCAGAGACAGATAACGCGTCAAAACAACGCACGGCTCTCCCCCTACCCCACCTTCCCCCTCCCATTCGTTTGAACGACACCGAACTTTTGGCAGCACCGCCGTCTCCTTCAGCCCCCCCCCCCACCACCATTCCCCCCACCCCCCCCTTTTCCCCCCTCCCCGCTCCGCAGCGTCACACGGCGCAGCCCCGCGGCTCTGCGCTGTCCCTTTCCGCGGGGCCCCGCGCAGTGGCCGCACTCAGCGCAACGCCCTCCGCCCCCGGCGCGACCACCGTTGAACTTTTTCTCCGGCCCCGCGTCGGATGCAGCAGACACAAGAGTCGTTCATTCTAACAAATTTATTTTCTCAATCGGCTCTTACGGAATCACTACTCAAATTAAATTACAATCAAATTATCACATCAAAAGATACCCTTATTACCTAACAACTGTCCATAGTTTCATTTCATTTTGATTTGTGCTCGTCTGAAAAAAACACGTAATACAAGATCTGGGGAAAAAATAAATTACCGTTTTGCAGCAGTTCATAGGTATTCTGAATAAAATATTAAAAGAAGTCATTTAATGAAAATATAAAGCAAATTTTTTTTTTTTTTTTTTTTTTTTTTTTTTTTTTTTTTTTTTAGATCAACAACGGATCTAACAATTCTATATTGCCGTCTTTTTGAAAAGTCTGTTTATTAAAACCTACCAAAAACACTGCTTGGAAATGGCAGTATTATATAATCACATCCACAGCACCCATTCAATCAAAGTTGGCAACGGATTTAGGAGAGGAGAAGTTCAGATAAGTGCAGCTGCAGATGCTCAGTCCTTCTAAATCCCTTTATCTGAATCAGTCCAGAAATAAAAAATAAAAATATTAATAAAAAAAATATTAGCAGTGGATTTTTTTTTTTTAATTTTTTTTCTTTTTTTCTTTTTTTTTTTTTTTAATTACTCTTCCATGATGATTGGCAGCCGTCAGGAGCGGGACTGTGGCGGCCCCGAACGGTTTCCCTTCCTTTCGCTGCTCCCTTAATTCAGCGCAGTCCTTCTATGGAGCTCCAACTTTAGGGACCAGCGGCCTCTCCATCCCCCCCCCCCCCCCCCCCCCCCCCGGTTTCTGTCTGTTCCCCCACCCCCCCCTCCCACCCCCTTCTCTCCTCGGGGTCAGTTCGGTGTGCGGGCATGTATTCCCATAGTTTTGTTCTATAGCTATACCTATATATATAGATAAATATATATATATGTATTTGCCTCCCTACGCAGTCTGCTTGTTTTTAGTGCTGTGTGCATATTTTCATTATTATTATTATTATTATTATTATTTTCTTCCTGGAAAAAAAACAAAACAAAACAAAACAAAACCAACAAAACAAAGTGGCCCTTCTCATTTTGCAGAATATATCGCTTTATAGATATCTATGTTCCCAGAGTGGGTATCTGCCTTGCACCAAAATCCTACGGTTTGGCCAAGGAAAACAGAGGTGCTGGCACGCAGCAGGCCCCCTCTGATTGATCACATCGCTTTGCTTCTGCTTTCCTTTCTTTTCTTTTCTTCCTTTTTTTTTTTTTTTTGTTTTTGTTTTTGTTTTTTTGGATCGCTCCCATTGTGAAAAATCAAAATAAAAAAAAAATAAAAAGAAAGAAAATAAATAAAGAAAACAAAGGAAAAAATAACAAGAAAAAAAAGAAAAAAAAAAAAAAGGAGGGAAGGGGTAGAGGAAAAGGAGGGGAAGGGGAAAAAAAAAAGTTTCCGTGATTGAGAGAAGAGCCCTTTGGGGATAGGGGAGAGCAAGGGGGGGAGGAGGGAAGAGGTGCAGACCCCATCGCTGCGAGAGGGGCTCAGGGGGGGGAAGGGAGGGAGGCGAAAAGCAAAAACCCGAACAGAAACCCAAGGCAGAACCCACCCGGCCGAGCCCTCTTCCCACAGCAGCCCCCGGCACATCTGCAGTTTTGGTGCATTACGCATCTCCACCCCGTTCTCCCAACGCAGCGGAAACGCTCTCGCTCGGCTCGACCTTTCCCGGCGCTCCCTCTCGCTATCGATCCCGTATAGACAGATAGATCCAGGCGCCCGCCTCTATCCGTACATATACCGACACGGGCGGCCCGAGCGAACCCGGACCGCGCGCGCGTGTGTGTGTGTGAGTGCGTGCGTGCGTGCGTGTGAGTGTGAGTGTCCGTGTCCGTGTGTGTGAGCGCGGCGTTCGCCACCGCCGCCGCCGCCGCCGCCGCCGCCGGAGCTCTCCCGGCCCGGCCCCGCGGAGCCCCGCTCACTGCACGCCGCTCTGCAGTCCGTGGTGAGGGGGCGGCGTGTCGGAGCTGACGGCGCCGACCTGCGAGTAGACATCGTCGGGGGTCTGCTGCTGGATCCCCGGCGGGGTCATGCGTTTCTCTTTCTGCCTCCGATTGCAAAACCAAACCCTGACCACCTCCTTCTCCAGCTGCAGGCTGTCCGCTAGGTTCGTAATCTCCTGGGCGGAGGGCTTGGGGCATTTCAGAAAGTGGCTCTCCAAGGCCCCCTTGACACTCACCTCGATGGAGGTCCGCTTCTTCCTCTTCCTGCCCTGCGCCGCGATCTTGTCGATGCTGGTGGGGCTGCCGGTGGAGGAGTCGGCTTCCTCCAGCCACTTGTTCAACAAAGGCTTCAGCTTGCACATGTTCTTGAAGCTGAGCTGCAGGGCCTCGAAGCGGCAGATGGTCGTCTGCGAGAAGACGTTGCCGTACAGGGTGCCCAGCGCCAGCCCCACGTCGGCCTGCGTGAAGCCCAGCTTAATCCGCCGCTGCTTGAACTGCTTGGCGAACTGCTCCAGGTCGTCCGAGGTCGGCGTGTCCTCGTCCGAGTGCGCCTCGTGGCTGTTGACGGCGCCGTGGTGCGGCGCGTGGTGCCCGGGGTGCGGGTGGTGGTGATGGTGGTGGTGCCCGGGATGCTCGCCCAGCTCCGCCGTCTCGCCGCCGCGCACCAGCCCGGGGTGCACCAGGCTCTGCCCGCCGCCCGCGGGGCTCAGCATGCCGTTCACCGTGAAGCCCCCGGGCTGCGAGTAGAGGAGCGACTGCTGCTGCTGCTGCCCGCCGGCCATGGCGGGCAGGTGGGCGGCCGCCGCCGCCGCGCCCCAGGCCGCGGGGTGCCCCTGGTGCGGGGGGCCCAGGTGGGGCGGCCGGTGGTGCAGCGCCGCGCCCGCGTGCAGCTCCTCGCGCCCGCCGCCGCCCTTCACGTCGGGCGGCGGCGGCGGCGGCGGCTGCTGGGGGCTGCCCGTCATGCCCACGGGGCTGCCGGACCAGGGCGAGCCCGCTTCGGCGGCGGCGGCGGCGGCGGCGGCGGCGGCGGCGGCGGCGTGGGGCAGGGCCGTCACCCACTGGTGGGCATGGCTCAGCATATGGCCGCCGTTGCTGGCGGCCATGGCGCCCGGCATGAAGTCGCTCTGGACCATCTTGGCCGCCGGGTCGCCGCGGTAGCCGCCCGCCACCGAGGTGACGGCCACGCCGCCCGGCTGCATGCCCCCGCCGCCGCCGCCGCCGCCGCCGCCGCCCGAGTCGGCGTGGACGATGGAGCCGGCCGCCAGGATGCCGTTGCCGGGGAGGTAGGGGTTGGAGGTGGCCGCGGCCATCCCGCGCCCGCCGCCCGCCGCTCGCCCCCGCCGCGCCGCCGCCGCCGC